ACACAGCATTTTAGGTTGTAAGAGCATTGGGAAAGCGTTCTTAGAACAGCTATACAAGCGGAATGGGCGCCCCTAGTAGGACATTTCATTTAGTACTTAAGATGTTGAAGGTAACAGTTATACAACAAATTATAAAAAAGAGAGTTTCTACAGTTCTTTTACCAAAACAAATAGCACCACGTTGCTAGTTGGGATATTTCACAACTCATACATTTGCCCGTACGAGGGATGTCTTTTAAGTTTTGCATATGGAAATAAAACAACACGGTAGGTAGTTTTAAATGACTTTATTGTTTTTCGAAGTATTCTTCACGAAGATTAATACACATCTGCATGCGCTTGACAAAATTTTCGAAGCACTTATTCCACTCGTTTGGTGGCAGATCAAAAACGGCCTTTTTGTATGCATCAACTGCTTCTTCTGGTGATTGGAACCTTTGACCACGCACTCTGTTTTTAATTTTCGGGAAAGTAAAGAAATCGTTAGGATTTACATCGGGACTACATGGAGGATGGTCCAATAATTCCACGTTTTCTTCTGTTAAATACTGCCTTGTTTTTTGGGCTGTGTGTGAGCTTGCATTGTCTTGGTGGAGGATGATTCATCCTTCGGGGTTGATTTTTCGAGGCTCGGTGATGACTTTTGGCAAACAAATGGTGGTATACCAATCCGCAGTAACAGTTGTTTGTTCATTAAGAGGAATTGTTGCAATACGACACAAATGTCGCGACCATCTTTTTCGAAACACTTCGTGAACGGATGACTTTTGTTGGCTTTTCTTCACCTTGGAACACCCACTGTCGTTTATTTTCTGGTTAATAACAGTAAATCCACGATTCGTCACCACTAACAATGCTGTACACATTGTTTGAGTTTCCGGAATTGAATGGGTCAAGCGTTTTTTGACACCAGTTAACCCTTTCTGCTCTTCAGTCAACAGGTGGGGTATCCAACAAGAAACTAATTTTCTTACTCCTAATTCTTCATGTAAATTTTTTGAATTGAGGCCTTTGAGATCTTGAAGGACGCCTCAATCTAGCGATATGTCACATGTCTATCTTCAATGATGAGTTTGCGCACAGCACCGACGTTTTCCTGGGTGACTGCCGTTTTTGGTACACCCACCCTGGGATCGTGGCTAAGACTCACCCGTCCACGTTTGAATTCTCCATACAAACGGGAAATTGTCGACTGATGTGGCGCTTCGTTGCCGAAAACAGACAGTAACTCAGCAAGGCATTCTTGTTGCGATAATTGTCTCTGAAAGTTGTAATTAATTATGGCGCGAAAATGTTCTCGGTTGAGTTCCATTTTTCTAATGACTTGGTGACACTTAAAAATGCACTTAGTGAGAACATTACACGTATTGTTGTGAAACTTTGAATTTGAGTTTACTAAAGAGTGAGGTTAAGATTCAATACTGACGTTCGATCCACTAGGCCTACTATGTTTCTATATGCAAAACTTAAAAGACATCCCTCGTATATTTGCCCTTAAAACTTAGACTACACCTTTGGTACTCGATCCGAGTGACTTATAAATGCAGGTACAATAACAAACGGCCCGGCGAAATGCTCTCTTGGCGTGATATACTGAGTGATTCTCCAAGATGGCTCACCCCTACAACTTTTTTATTATTGAAGACAGAAAACCGAAATTTGAGGGTTGCGTATTATAGATGAATTTACATTTTTTAACATGTCAGCTTGCTTTGCCGGAAATGACTCCATCTTTCGAGTTTTAAACGAGGCACCCTATATATTTTTACTTATTTCTATCGAGAATGACATTCTGACCTCAACAACGCCTCACTTGCTAATATTTGACAAATAAGGTCATTTTTATAAAAATTTTTATTTTTCGATCTAGTATTCCATGGGTCCTGTAGGTAAATCGCTTCACTTTTGAAATCGGTAAACGTACGATTTTTAGGCGAACAACCTTACAGTCGTTTTACAGATTTTGTAAAAGTTACAAATTTCTTCAGTTCACTTGATTTTTCCAAATAGAAAGAGGGTGGCTTTCTCCAAGAAACCATTTTCTTACGAATAATTTGACACTACACATTCTTATTTTATTTTTACCATTTTTCTGAATAATTGTAAGAAACGATCATACCTAACAACAAATAATACGTATCTGCATTCGGTATACCTATGCATTAAGTCCTATAACATATTCTAGTAATCCGTGACAAAGAATCGGATATATTGCTAACTAGGTACTTCAACAAATACCTAATCTAGGTTATTACAAATACTGACAGTTTTAAAAATGTATTTGTTACGTAGTTAATTTACAATGGGAAACTATACTAGAAACTACATGCTGTTGATTTACGGGGAAGCAAGGAAAAATGCAACCGAAGCAGCTCATAAATCATTAATAATAATATAATAATCTCAGAGATTACTCAATCGTCGGCATTATTTTCTAAAACTGGAACAGAAAATGCAAAATGAACCAGAAGAAAATGCCAGTAACCTTATTCTGAGTGAAGAAAAAGAGATAGACGTGTTGGCCTATGTTGAAGTAAATTGTACATCCCAAATTCAGCAAATTATTTTGAATGTAGAAGTTATTCATCCGTTTGGAGAATTCTTCACAAATATAATTATCGATCAACTACGTAATAGAGGGTAATCTGGAAAGATAGAAGCCACCTTACCCCTGTTTAGGCTGGAGGTCTATCGAATGTTATAAACAGAGAAATATATGTTAATTGCCGATCACGTCAACGTACGTCAAAACGTGAGGAGGACTAGGAAAATAGGTTACCTGTCTACCAAATCTGTCTCTTTCCCATCAACCGTCGACAGTTTTACCTACAACCTCACAAGCGCCGCATAGCGGGAGCAAAATGGGACATGGATGCCATTTTGACGATAAGCACTGCACTGTAAGCACCAATTTAGACTAACTGAGGACATCAGATGCATCAGGTTTGTATATAAATCAATTTGATCATCTTGACTTTTATTTGACTATCTTGACTCGTTTAGAATATGAATGCCCCGAGAAAAAAATACTTACACCAACTAAAATTTTAATTAGTCCAATTAAAATTTTCAATTAACTATGTGACAACTACCAGCTTAATTAATTCAATTAAGCTCCAATTTCAAAAATAGTTTACTTGAATCTTGAAACGTATGATTAACCGAAAACGCAATCGTTTAACTAACTTTAATAAGCTGTTTTCTTAGATTGAGTAATCCAAGTTACTTAAAATAAATGAACTATCAAATGAGTTTACCTGCTCTAAGGAAAATAATATAATTTATATTTATCGAATTTGTTTAATTTGTTAGTTAAAGTTTGCCTAGCTTGAATGATGATGTTTTGGAAAAACTTTACAACCTTAACAAAACTGATTGCTATTCTGTGTTTTGAATTCAAAAAGTACGGAAAGGAATACGTAAACTGAATAAGGCAACTTGATCATTTGTAAAAAATGTACTTTTATTTCTAGTAATAAAACATAATTGCATTCATCCGCATTCAACGTATTTACATGTATAAATAAATCTGATATTGCTTTAAATAAACTAACATTTCCAAATAATACAATATAAAAGAAAAACACATCAAGCTTTATTAAGCATATGTTTGGTATAAATACCCTTCTTTGACATCAATATCACTACATAAATAAAATTTCAAAGTTCTTCCCATACCGTCACGTCAGCAGTGACTCCCCGATTCAGAGTGTTCCCTGGGAGTGAGAAATACTGAAGGTTATGGGTCACTGATCGCCTTATGTTCGAATCTTTCACTTGATCACGATAAATGATCCACTTCACTGCTACTGCGCCAACGACGGCAACATTCGAAAATGTAACTGAGGAGTTCATGATCGTTCAGGACCGAGTCCTGCCGAGTCCGCAACTCAAATAAACAGTTTGATTGTTTTCATTATATGATTATTTATTTCAAATGTACCCTTTCTACATAAAGTGAGTTTTCTAAATTAAGTAAATAGTTTAATAAGGTAGGTACATGGTTTGATATCGTCGGTCTCACCACGTACAGGCGCAAATGACAAAAAAAAATCTAAAATCGTGTTACGCCGTAATATCACATATTTTTTGTACTCTCACCTCACGAAGTGACATAACTCTATATCAGTTCGATGCTTATTAACAGAATTCTTCAAAAATTAAGTAATAAATTAAGTCATAAAACAGTAAAACAGTTTTCACGTACCGGCTTAAATAGATGTACGCCTCTGCATTAAAACTGGTTTTTTGTATTTGGCCGATAATTATGCAGGACGTACCGGCGCATGTGTCTCTAATAATATGTGAACATAACCTACACATGTTGTTGTGTTGTTGTGAATATCGGCTTGAGCAAAATGTTTATTTTTCTTGTCATTTACTTTTGTTTGTACTTATAATATTATGTAGAGAATAAAATAATTTTTATTTCTGAAACAGTACTTTCGATACTTTGATACCCATGTCCAGTTTTAAATTGTTGGTGTAACTTCACAATAAAAAATATATTTTTTTAAAACTCATCTCACTTTTACAGAAATAAACCATCCCAAACCATAGTACAACATAATTTTAGTCTAACAAAAAAACAGCAACGTGCCGACTAAAAAATCAGTATGTCATTTTCAATCTCATTTATTGCTGATTTTCGTCTTCTAGCTCTCCTGTAAGATTTGTAAAATGTTAGTTACGCCGGTACTTGCGGAGACCGACGATATGTTCAAGCAAATTAGATTGATAGTATATTACTTTCGAGTTTATTTGAACGGAATAATTCAGTTACTTAGAATAAAAACTGTTTAATTGACCATGTGGGGTGGGGGCATTAGTGGAACGTAGTCTCAGCGACACGTCATTAGGTTTTGTATCGGCCCTAGAGTCTATCTGCATTTTTGGCAATAGATAAATAGATAACCACCAAGTAAACGCATTATCGTGCTCTCAGTTGTCAAATAATAAATCTATGCATTTCAAGTTATTATAGTAAAAACAAACGACAAGCTCGAATCATTCTTTCATTGCTATTTTTATGTTTGAATATATTCAGTCCATCTTACAATAACGTTGATACCCAGCTTCTCAAGTTCATCTTTACCTTTCCTTGATATGATCGATCCATCTTCTTTTTTTACAAACGACTATCTGTGGTAAGCACGTAATATCGTACCTGCAAACCAGTATCCAAATAATAAGATATTCAGTAACAGGGCTTCCCTAAAAAGGTCCATCAAAATGCTACAGTATGTTATATCAATATTTGTTTCATGGGATGATCTTTACAAATATATTGTGTGCAATTTGGTATGAAGGTTCATAATTAATTGATAAAATGTTGAATTTTGTTATGATTTCATGATTTTTAGTAATATTGGAATGTTTATGAATAATTTTTAACACGTTCGCTGCGTGTGTCGTTCATCGGCGACATTTTGTTTCCCACTGCAGTGCTGATGTCGCCTATGTACGACACGTCATTATTGACAGGTTGTAACTCGTAAAAATATCGCTAATGATTTGTCTTGGTCTTTGAATAGATGATTCATTATAATTCTTTGAAAAAAATAGTTCAGGTTTTGGGAAGGGTACTATATTCGAGATACGCAGCGAACGTGTTAAGTTCAACAAAATAATTAAATACAATCTCAAAATTAATTATATATATCTCGTATATGTTATTTATCAACAATTAATTACGAAAATCTACGGGAAAGAGACGACAGTTCAACGGAATTGCGGGACATGGATTTGTGTTATATAAAGGAGTTATAAAATTCTCACGAGTAATCCGTCTCTAGAAAAGTCAGATTTTAATATTTTGACGATTACAATACTTTCCGAATAAATACTTGTGCTATTACCTTTTGTTAGGATATATCATCCCTCATTTAACCGCCCTTTATTGACTAACACATCGGAAATCTGAGCCTGTAATATGTATTAATAAATAAGTGCAGCTTACCGCCATCTCAGGATATCGGCTGTATTATTCTTGAATGGAATAGCCGCCCAAGGTCCTTGCCTGGAAAAGTCCTTCTGAAAATGCATTTCTTCGGAATCAGCGGATACGTAGATGATTTCCATTTTGGTGTTACGTTTCCGATTTTCTTCGTAAAGCACTTTCAACTTATCAACTAGGTCGCGTGTGTTTTCCGCCCATGAAGCCGAAAAGAAGTAGATAACGATTTTTGCATGTTTCAGGTATTTAGATGCTAGCAATATATGTTTATCCTTCATTACAACCTTCTGATTTTCTAACATATCCATGTCAGGTTGACATTTTTACTGGAACACTCAGGTGGAATATGTTTGAAGAAGACAAAAGTCAGATCGTGTGCTGATCCTTGTTCTTTCTAGTATTAATGCACGGAAAAACTGTAATACCGTTTAGAAAAAATTAATGTTTCCATTAGATCTTTTGGTAAGACTATATTTTAGCACCTATCGCAAATGTTTCATTCCTTATTTTAAAATGAACGACTAGGATGTAACGAAAATATCATTTTTTCTTTAGGGAACCCTCTACTTGCTATTTTATAGAATTTTAAAGCTGCATCTTTGGCGGTAATATTCTAGAATAGAATACTGTTTTATTAGATGTTTTTTTAATTTTGCACAAAAGGATGCTCTAAATTATAGGAATATAACATATACTGTATAGTACTAAGGAAAATAGATGCGAAACTGTAAAAAAATCGTTGGGTTTTCAAAGAGAAAGATTAAAAACTAGCCGTATAATAAGCTGAAATGACAGTTCCAAATACATACCTTTAAGAATATACTTTAGCGCATGAAGGCTGAAATTCTCATTTCTTTCGAAAAAAATTGAAGAAGTCAGCAGAAATTATCATTTTTTAAGGAAAATAGATGCGAAACCATAAAAAATCGTTGTTTTTTTTGCAAAAAAGGTTCAAAACAAGCCGTGTAATAACCTAAAATTACAGTTCAAAATACATACCGTAAATGATTGTACCTACTTGCTACGGTAAAGGTGTTGTGTTGAGATTTTTTAATTTCTTCTTGAAATTCCTTAACCATTTTGTTTCGCGCATTGCCTAACGTCCATTTCTTGACAGATAATATAAACGATGTCGATTGTTGCCAAGCTGTCCTTTTTTTGGGAGAAATACGTAATAAAAAAATGAGGTTATTTGTACAATAAAAGTCTTAATTTATTGTAAATGGCTTATTCTATAAGGAGTCATCCCAATATTTATTGAAAATTAGATGAAACTTTGAACATTACGTGTCTAAACAGTGTAAAATGCACCAGCGTCTCGCGTGACATAAAAAATACAAAAAGCACCAGCGGTCATTGCATATAAAAATATCCAACTGCGATTCGTCGATTTGGATCACGTCGGCAGGTCCACCCAATCATCCTCCAACATTAAGGTTAAATAAAGATCAACGACCCTTTCATCAAATCAGCAAAAAACTTGCATGTTCTTCTTTGTTATGTTTCCATTATTTAGTGACTGGCAATAGCTACTTTTTAGTAATTTCTCATATATATTACATTTAATTAGGTATATTTTGTAACATCGGATTCACTTTAAATAATTCTTCAAGTGCATACATACAAAAAGTAAATAGATTATAACTATAATACAGGAAAAACAATAACCCAAGGATTCTTGTGAAAGGCTCAAATGGTCACATTCTATATGACATTTTAAAAGCCCGATCTTCACGCTGTGGTATACTGATTCCAATATTTTGCAAATAAAGTATACTTGATAAGGTTCGTTATCAGCGACCCCAAAAACTTCATAATATGAATTTTTGGAATTCGGTTGCAGTGTAAATCGATAAAAGCAATATTGAAGCAATACTAGTCATCTAAAGAGCCGCTTTCCAAAAATATCACTTTTGAGCTGCTGTTCCAGGACGTGCAAAAACAACAAACAGCGATAAGGCCAATCCGCCCTTGGCAACTCAAATGAGATTATTGTCTTCCATTAACCCAATCATGTGAGGGTCCAGATGATTATGGTTATCTCAAAACATCAACAACAACAAGACAACAAAGAAAAACCTATATCCGTAGGAGTGTCCCGTATACAAACGTGTGGAACTATTTTGTGTGCTCTATGTCCATTCAAAACACTTCCATATTATGTTAAAGTACTCTGTATAGGATTAGTCATTTTGAGCAAGACTGTGCAAGGAAAGAGTTTAATATACAGACACTACACAATTTAATTTTTGACTATGATTTACCACAAGGTACTGTGTTGGATCCAACCTTGTTTACAATTTACATAAACAGCTTTCTAACTTTTCATGTGGTCAAGTGCTTAGCTTTGCAGATGATACTATAATATTGTATGACGATAGTACTCGGGAAAGTCGAAACATAAAGTAGAGCGGGAACTAGAAACTATTTTTAATTATTCTTCTCATACACTTTTAACCTTGAACGAGAAAACATTCTTGATGCCTTTTTCTAGTACAATACATTAGCTACCTCAGTATGAACAGCTTTTAATGAATAAACGTATACCTTTAACATCTGAAAATCCGTCACAATTGATTGCCACTTGAGATGGGATCTTCGTATAACTAACGTTGCAAATACCCTACGACAACCCTTATGTCGCTTCAAATACTTAAACCATCTCTTAGTCTACATGCACCTGAAAATGTTATATTATTCATTAGTTGAGTCACGTCTACCATACCCTATTTTGGGTAAGAGGAGTGCGGCATATTGCTATTTGCAGCCTCTGGATATACTGCAAAAAGCGCGTTAAATATCTGGTAAAAGATTACCTATCCTGTGTTATTTGGTTCGTTTTTGGGTAGTTAAGTCGTCGTAACTGTCAACACCTTCTGAAGATGCCAACCAGTCGTGTTGGCGGAACGTCAAATAAAAATATTTTGCGACGGCCTAACTACCCAAAAACCAACCAAACAACATTGGATGATGGCCGCGAAAGCCTTTCGCATTTCATTATCTATCCTTCTGATGAGTTAATTTCAAAGAATGTTTGGCCTAAGGTAACTGTTTCTGCATCAACTCTTTCAATTCATAGACAAACATAAAATTAACTTCAATAAAGTTAGTCATGCTTATAATGAGTTTTCTTCTAGGGGCGCAATTTTTTGTGAAGTTGTCTGGGTTACACTTGACAGAGTAGAATTGGCATGGTTTATTGACATTTGTAAACTACTATAGTTGGCAATTTATAAAATGGATGCGTGCAGCGTGGAACAACGTGAGCAGATAACTCAACTTCATTATGAAAATGCCCAAATATGTTCAAATAAAAATGTTTTTTGTAAGTTACGTGATTTTTATCAACGGCATGATCGTCCAAATGAGTCAACAATATCGAGAATACTGAGGAAATTTGAAGAGACTGGTTCGGTTTTAGACATAAAAACACCGATTCGTCCACGCCCAGGCTGCTCACCAGAAAATATTGCTGCAGTTCGTGAGAGTGTTCAAGATACCCAAGAATGTCGATTCCACGGCGTTCACAGCAGGTGCATATTCCACAAACCACTGTTTGGCATATTTTACACAAGGATTTAGCGTTAAAAGCATTTAAGATCCAATTGACACAATAATTGAAGCCCACCGACCATGCAAAACGTCATGAATTCGTTAATTTCATTGAGCAACAGGAAGAAGGATATGGTCATTCCACACATAATTTTCTTGAATTGCCATACATGTATCTTTCATTTTAAATTAAGGTATGTTATATTCAGTCCACTTGAAATTCATTGTTTTATTACTTAATAAAAAATGGCGTCGATATTGGACAACCCTTTAGTACTAGACATAAAAAAATGAAAACTTAAGAGTATAAACTTTTCAAAGAGATGTAAGCTTACGATCCCTTATCTACCATCGTGTAAGGTTTATAACTGCTTGCCATACATGCGTATTGATAACTTAAGCTCATCGTCTATGATAAAAAGTTTGTTTAAAAAATACATATTTTCAATTGACAGACAAGAGACAAGAATGCTAGTAGAAATTGTTTACTAATAATCGTACAACATGAGTGCTACTCCTTCTTACCCTCCATACTTCTACTGCGCGAGTCACAATTTTTAGCTAAGCTGATATGTTCCAGCATCTTCCTCCAAGCATAATACTAAATTTATGAAAACACATGTCCGTTAACAACTAACTATTTTGGTTTCAACGGGCTTTACGTGGTAAATTAAGGATGTTAACTGGCTTATAAAACTAATGTAAAACAACTTAAATGTCAAAAGCCACGTGTTATGTTCTCTTCTACGTTTATCGTAAATCTTTGTTTGCCCCACCAGCAAATTATACTTAGTGAAATAAACGTTATTATTATAATTATTATCCTGTCATCCTACATTTCCTTTCATTCCTAATGGACTGAAATGGTCACACGTCGCTACAGAAGCAATATTTATATATTTGAGCAATATTTGGATATCAGGAGTATGTACTACTTTAGCGTTCTGCGATGTTTTTGTAAATGATGACTTAACAGTTTTTATATCTTCACATATGTTTTTCTGAATCTTATCATCCTTAAATGTAACATTAATTTCATCTAGCCTTAAACATAATAAGTCAAACATATTTTCCATACATCTGCCATGGAAACAGAAATATTATACTTTTGATTTATATAGTTTGTTATGCAGATGTCACAGATTTATCGTAGCTAAGTTCACCTACCTAATCACATTTGGATTTCGTCTCTTGAAACGATTTGACTCATCCATTTTCTTTGAAACCTCCAACGAAAGCGTAGGAAGTATAGAATCTACGGATCTGAAAAAGTGGTTTCAACTAAGACATGGTATGGATCGGATAGCTTTGTGCCTTTTGCAGTTGAATATACCCTCAAAAATCATCAGATTATCATTACGATCTAATAAACTGTTTCCTTGCTGCAAATGGTTAAATCCTTAAAAAAATATAGGGCTACGTGTCCTAATTATGGTTAAAATGAAAATAGTAATTTTCTGAACAAATCAATCAATCAAAATAGAGCTCCTTTTTGAAGGACAGGAAAAACTATGAAAATCAAGAAGGCCATAAAGGCGTCCTACAATTCTGGAAATGACTGACGATATGGCCCTAAGCTGTGTTGATTAAGCGGCCACCATGATGAAATAGCTCGAGAAGATACGCTCACTTCGCAATCGAATTCAAATAATAATAATAATAAATATAAACATCTTTTATTGAGGCGAAGATTAGCTTGAAGCTATTCTGCCACTTCACGCTTACAAAGTACAACACACAGAATAATATTTATAAACATGTTAAAGTAATATATACATAAGCATACAATATTTCACTAACAATAAATATTGAAAATTTAATCATACATGTGAATGTGGTCTGAAAGGATGTTGCGGATTGTGGGGCCAAACTACGCTGGTGAGCATTTTTCTAAAATAAGTTGTTTAATTTGTTTTTATATTCACTGTAATTTAGTGATTTCAACTCCTGGAGTACTTTATTATGAAGTGTTGTATGTGAGGTACTTAAGAAAGAATGAGGCTTTGTGAAGAGGCATTGTGAGTGTTTCAGTAAACAGCATGTCTCTTGAGTGAATTTAATTTCTTACCCTGAATCGCTCAGTTAATAAACATGGATAAATTAAATAAGGCAGAGAATCGGAAGTAAGTCTTATTGCTCCTTCATATTTATTAACGATAGAGCATATTAACAATTATGATTAATTCGTGATATTGGAAGGTGAAAAATATAAAAAATTCTCTTCATTAGCGGCAACAATGGAAGAATTCCTGACATCGGAAATAGTGGGACACCTTTCATGAATTCTACTGTTTTTCTGGCCAAATGTACGTACATAGTTGACCATATATGGAAATTCCTGCTGTTGTCACTACATTTATCCAATAAAAAAATTGGAAGTGTAGTGGTTTTTTTTGGACGAGCTGAGCTACCTCCATAGAATCTCGTGTCACTAAAATAAGGCCGTAACATTACTCCTTATAACGCGAAGGACTTTCAGATTTATAACTGAAGTAAATTCAATTTTAGTTTAGTTTAGTTAGACTACAATTTCGGTTGATCTCTTCAATATCCATCAAAAAGTTTTTTTGTCTCCAATATTTTGAACTTTTCAATGCTGTTGTTAGGTATACAGTGCTGAGAAATCTTAAATTGAGAATGGGTGCTCAATTAAACAAGAAATGGAATGAAATAAATCAAAATTACCTCACTACTATCCAGGCAGAAAAGTATGACTTTAATTTGAAATGTCAATAAATGTCAAACTGCCGGCTCAAGCTTGATCAACCTGCGATACAAATATGACCTTGCATACTGATTACTGACTATGTAATTTTGTCGACAAACAAATCGTACGCTTGCTCCTTCTACCTAGTCGTTGATATGAACCACTCTGTAGAATTAAAACCTTCTTGTGATTATACTTTCCAGCCAATTAACATGGAAGTAATCATACCTTTCAAATTCACACAGACCGAATAAGAAACGGTGATCGGAGTATACCCGAGGATATTGTCAGATCGATCCATGTTTCCGCTTATAACGTACGTACAAATCCGGCGGTTTACCTCTCTCATTACAAGCCCCCATCGGACGCCAATTTATCTCTATTCCAGAAGGATGAATGTATACCTTCATCAGAATCCACTATATGACTTAGTGGATTAGCATCGTTAACCTCTCGGTACGGAACTTTGCGGAGCGATGCAACTGAACCACGCTTAATCATAGGGGTGTCAGTACGATGGATATGTTTGTGTTCTGAAAGGTTATTTGATGCAAAAGGAGTCATGATATCGAGCTGAAAAATTTATATAAAGATGCCATTCAATTCAGATTAATATGAGATAATTTTGGAGGAAAATGCTTTCATAAATGGACTCCTTAGAACCCATCTGCTCCAGGTTGTTTGGATTACTGAGAGCATACCCAACTAGCAAGGTAGTACTATAAGTTTTTGATCAAAGAACTGTTAGGCCGTAATAGCTCTGTTGTGTTGTTGCATGAATATCAAGATGCTGGATGATGTTGTGTGAAATGCAAATTTGCTTCCTGCAGCGTATTTGCTCTAAAATGAGGTGTCGAAACTGTTTTATAAACGTCTATACAACTATTTTATAGGCATATTAGCTCGGTAGTCAAAATAGTTGTGTTGTGGCATCCATGGTAACCTTTATACAACAAACAGAAACCTTCTGCTTCCGTATGATAAATTACTACTTTAGCCAACAAGTTCCGCCTAACGAAAGCATTTATACAACTGTCGTTTAGTAACTGTTGAGGTGTTGAGGGCTATATATTTGCAACATTAGCTCGGCATACATTTGTTGCTTAATATATAGATGTACAGCTTAACCCATGTTTCTGTTGTTATCTTCTTGGTTTATATACCATAACCATTATTTTTCTTCTTCACGACTAGAAACGCATGAATAATCGCTGTAAAGGTTTTATCAACTTTTCAAAGGTAATGCAGATCTGGTACAAGTTCTGAGTAAAGCATACGACTCTGTCCATATTTCATTTGGCAGAGATTTGGAAAATTGGTGTATAACACCTGCGGATAACATCAAAATGTTCTAATAACCCAAAGAGAATATGGATTATTTCATGATTAGACATAACCAGCCGCCACATTGGAGTTTTCTATTGAAACTCAAATTATTCTGTTTCCCTCTGACAGAGATTGGAAATGATAACCATTAGTGTAACTATATCTAAATGTAGAATTTGTTAAAAAATTTAAGCAGATAAGTTCAGATTCTCATCCTAAAAATCATTAACATATGAACCATGTACGAAGCCAGTAGAAATTGCGCCACTACTTTGTACGATAACCACAATCAAATTTGCTGCGCAAGTCATTCAATAGACCTATATCACAGTGAAGAAGAAAAATGTCCTCTGCGTTTTATGAACACCTTTTTTTATACCGAAGCAGCCCCGCAGACAGAAGCCTAAATGCCAGGACACCGCGGCTGCTATGAGGATCACAAAGGAATTTTTTTATCCGATTTTAGAACTGCCTATGGTTACTATGAACTGGGAAAAGTTTCCTCTTGTAGATTTTTCTACAATCTTGACAACCTCGACACGGTTACGTAGGGAGGCCAGAGTCAGACGGGTCTGTATAGCAGGCACATTGCGCTTCATGGGAGGAGAGCTCTAAGGGAGGGTCCCGAGACTGTTTGTTAGAGAAGAGTCACTGATCAGTCGGACAGCCCTCCTCTGGACAGCATCGAGCATAAATAATGTAGTCGGGCCTGCAGCACGCCAAACGTGTAAGCAATACTGGAGACTAGGCCTTATCTGCGCCTTACCTAGAGTGAGAAGGTCACGCGGAGAAAATTACTTCTTAGCCATAAACAAATAGCTTAGCCTTTTCCCAGCAGCTGCCGACATTGACCAGATGTGGGATGGGAGTCTGCATCGGCAGCGGTGCCACAGGTGATCGAACGTTTTCGTGATATCATGAGCAACAATCTGACCCTTACCATAAGCCTGGATAGGTTTACTTCACAACTGCGCGACATAAGCTAGGAGGTTCCCTGTGGATCGCTGGTGCAGGAAACCATACTGCCTGACGCCAATCAAGCCGCGTCGTTCGACGTAGTCCAGAAGCTCGCGATTTATGCACCTTTCCATCACCTTACTCATGATATACTAAGTGACATATAATCCGAACACCCGGTTTAAATGGTTTTATTTTAATAAAAGTTGGTGAATGTATTTATCTTACTGTAAATAACAAGTGAAAAAATTTTCAGCCTTATCAGTTGGACATTCCGGTCCAATCAACTTTGGCGGATTTTGGTTCTTGACATCCTTTACGATCGGTTACGATGCCTAGAGTACGGAGACCTGTACGATTTCGTCAACTTAGTGAGTTTGATAGGGGCCGTATAGTGGGACTTCGGGAAGCTGGACTTTCTTTTCGGACAATTGCAGTTAGAGTGCAAAGAAGTGTAGACACTGTGGTTAGGTGTTGTCAGGCATGGCTTCGAGAAGGCCGTACGCAAAGAGCAAGGGGCACTGGACGCCGCCGTAGAACAACAGACCATGAAGATCGCCGCCTAAGATTATTGGCCTTAAGGGACCGTTTCTCCACTACCAGGTCCATTGCAAATGAATGGTTTGCAGAACACGGAAGACCTATTGGCATGCGAAGTGTTTACCGACGAATGAGAAGTTTTGGCTTGTTTTCATACCGGCCACACTGGGTCCTCCCTTTAACTCGAGAACACCGACGTAATCGCCTTGAGTGGTGCAGACAACGGTCACTCTGGGATCAGGAATGGAACAATATTGTCTTTAGTGACGAGTCTCGATTTTGTTTAGGCATGCACGATGGTCGTGCCAGGGTTAGAAGGCGACGTGGTGAAAGGAGGAATCCACAGTTTTTTGTTGAAAGACATGTTCATCATACTGTTGGAGTTATGGTTTGGGGTGCTATAGCTTATGGTTCCAGGTCACCTTTAATCTTCATCAGAGGTAACATGAACGCGCAGCGTTATATCCACGAAGTTCTAGAACCCCATCTTTTACCCTTGACACCCTGGCAGATCCAACTTTCCAACAAGATAATGCCCGACCACATGTTGCAAGAGTCACAATAGACTTCTTTCAACATAATGATGTCACATTGTTACCATGGCCACCAAGATCTCCCGACTTATCCCCAATTGAGCACGTGTGAGATATGATGAGTAGGAGATTGCTCAATTTGCAACGTCCTCCTCAGACTCTAGAAGCACTTCGAGAGGAGTTGGTGGTTGCCTGGAATGAGATACCACAGGAGGACATTGACCACCTGATCAAAAGCATGCCTAGGCGCGTTGGAGAATGCGTAGCACATCAGGGTGCATCCACACATTATTAAAGGTCAAAGGGCTTTAAAGCAGTGCAATCATTTTGAAATTTTTATCATTTACTTATTATGTTTCATTAAGTACTTATACAAAATTTTATTAAAATAAAACCATTTAAACTGGGTGTTCGGATTTATATGTCACTTAGTATAGAAAGTAGAGATATAGGTCTGTACTTAGAAACATTCCGCATTCATAAGATGTCTGGAAAAGACGCAAAAAAACTGGAGCAAGCTCCATTGCACACCTCTTCAGTACAATAGCAGGAATCAAGTCCGGACCAGAAGCTTCAATGATGTCGAGCGACAAGAGCACCCGTCTTACGGTCTTATGCCTGAATGTTACGTCCCGCATATTGTAGGGAACCCTTTGAATCGACGGAACTTGGGCGTTGGGAGGGGACGTCCATGGTGGAGTTGGCAGCAAAGATATTGGCAAGCACTTCTGCCTCAGCCTTTGAGTTGGTTAGAATCGTTCCATCCTGACACTCAAGTAGTGGAAGGCTACCCTGTGAAAGCTTCATTTCAATCTGCTTAGCCATCGCCCAGAAAGACCTACCGCTATTGCGCTGCGACATTACTCTGTGACTAACTTTTGTATCATGCTGGTCTTTGGCATTGCGAACCGCTTCGTTACATTTGTTTCTGGACGCGAAGTTGGCTTGTATGTTCTTTACAGTGGGGTTTTGTAAGAAGGTTCTGTATGCCTTCATCTTCTGCTGGTGGGTAGTGTCACACAATTTGTTGAATCAGCCGTTGGTCCCTGGTTTAGGCACTTTCACTGTACGAGGAATGTATTCCTCCATCCCGACGTGGATAATTTCGGTTATCGTAGAACAGACAGCCGTCGAATCAGTGTCAGCGAAACAAACGTCTCTCCAAGGAAAGGTAGAGAAGAAGTCTCTGAGCCCCTTCCAGTCGGTAAGTCTGTAAAGCCAAATTGTGCGGTCTGGGCGAGTTTCTGCTACCACAGCGGCTTCTGACCGAGACCTAACCTCCACAGTATCGTGGAATTACCCAGGCAGGACAGGACAGCAGTACTGTAAGGGACAAGATGTGTGGTCAGAAAGAGATCCAGCAGACTGCTGGCATGCGACGAGACGCGGGAGAAAAAGTAGGGCTCGTCCCACCTGAGTCGGCCCTAGAGTAAGAACGTACGCTTCAACTGCACGATTTGCTGCATGGGTCTTGTTTGAGCCCAACCAAAGCTTATTAAGGGCATTGACACCACTGAAGAGGACCACCTCTGAAGCGGGGTGATTGATGTTCAGGAAGTCGATCCTGACAGCGAGGTATTCAGGTAGGTCATCCCAGTTAAGGTCTGAGGGAGAGCGATAGCCTCAGGGAGGTTGCGTAGCTTAGGTGTGGAAACATGCGGACACCCTG